AGGAGGCAAGACCAGATTGACCACTATACCCATCACCAAGAAGATCATACATACCTGCTGTGGGCAGCAACCCCATAGGCATGGGAGGTGGGGGTACACACCATACCAGACTTCTATTATCTATCCTTGTTAATCTTTTCCCTTTTGGGAATCTGGATGATCCTTGTCACAAGTGCTACCAACCACTGTACTATGAAAACATTCAAGGTTTTTTTTCATTGCTCATACCCTCATCAACCAGTACTGTTATGACACATCCAAACTAGAAAACTGTGTACAGAATGAGCAAACAGTCTGAGTTGCAGAAAACTTAGGCCCAGGTGGCCTAAGGCTAGGAGCTGAATGCCCAAAGGGGGAAAGATAAATTTACTTTCTCAACAGTGGAATCCAGGATTTGATAAATAACACGGTTTTAATAAAAGAACAGGTAATAAGCAAGCTGACAAAACAAATACAGCCATCTAACCCAGAACCAACCCCACATGAAGATTTGTATACAAAAGTCAAACAATAATTTGAAAATTAAATAGATATCCTAAAGTCAGGAAAAAACTTGTCTGTAGATTTATGGAAGAGAATCAATAAAAAAACTACACATTACCAACTACTGAGTAGATGGGGAAGCTTTGATGACAGAAAAATGGCCATGGAAATGTAGTAGCCTATGCCTGGTTGAACTTTTTAAATGAAAGAGAACTGGCATAAAAGCAGGCCAGAAGGGTGGATTTTAATTTCAGAAGTAATAGGAAAGGAACGCCTCTAGTGTATTGAAAAAAGTTCCTTAATAAAGTAGGACAAACTCCCTATAAAAGATATAAAGTCTATAATGGAACTTCTACATGGTGAATCCCTGAAAAACCCAAACAATATTGGACACAAGAAAGAAAAAATAATTGTAAACAGAATAAAGATGTGAAACTTTTCTTGTATAATGACACTGAAATAAAACCCTATTATGGGATCCCCAAAATATCTCAATTTTGGAAAAATATAATTCACCAAAGCAATGATTACTGGAAAACACCAGATGGCCTACTCTGAATATATGGGAAAAGTGCTTATCCAAAACTCCTTCCCTGGTGGAAAAGAAGTTGTACTCTAGGAATCATATAGCCAGGATTTTTCCTTTTACCAGACCAGGATGGAAATAAGTTAGGAATACTGGTTTATGATGCTTTAAAATGAAATAAAAGGAATGTAGAAGTAATTGGAAGATATCAGAAGTGGAATAATGATGAACGACCTCCTGAACAAATAATAAAAACATATGGACCAGCTACCTGGGCACAAGATGGAAGTTGGGGATATCAGATCCAAATTTATATGTTAAATCGTATCATAAGACTCCAAGCAGTTGTAAAAATTACAACTAATGAAACAGCTCAAGCCTTAGAATTAATAATCAGCCAACAAAGGCAAACCAGAGCTGCAGTGTACCAAAATTGGTTGGTGCTAGACTACTGATTAGCAGAAGGTGTCAGTGGAAAACTTAACATATCTGATTGTTGTCTGCAAATTGATGATAATAGAGATGTAGTTTTGGACATAGCCAAAAACATCTGAAAAGTAGCCCATATACCAGTCCAAAAGTGGGAATCTACAATTAATAAAGAATGGTAGGAAAAATTTTTGGAGTATCTTGGGGGAAGAAGACAGGATTTATAATGCTATGTAAAATAACAGGTTTAATTTTTCTTCCATGTTTGATTCCATGTCTTATCTGCTTAATTACTCATGTGGTTCACAACATGCAGGTAATAACAATGTCCACCAATCCCAAGTCAACAACCTCAAGAGGAACACAGAAAGTCATGATATTAAAGAAAATAAATTATAATAAAAACCAAAGGAAGACACCTAGGATCTACAAAAGGCATCACGTTGGAAACGGAAGAATAGAAACTTCTACAAATTGAAGGGTTCAATTTGCATCTGTGGAAAGAGCTTGGATTAATGCAGTGTTGAAAGTACACAGACATCGGGTAGAGAAATTACAAGCTTATGTTCCTATAGTTATAAGTAAGAATATGCCTAGAGTAGGTAAGAAATTATATTAGGTAAAATAGTTTGAGGTTTAAACTGTAATAGTGTGATGTATAGAGTAAGTTAGAGATCTAGAAACTGTAGTAGAAAAGTATGTAAGTACGTGACCTGTCAGCTTATTGGTTAAAAGACAGATGCAGTGTGGCAAAATTAAGTAAAGGTGATAGGTTAATAAATGAAAACAAGCTTTGTGTCAACTGTCTATTGGACCAAAATGTTATATATTGACGTGCAAAGAAGAAACTTGTGACTTCCTCAAGCCATGGCTGACTTATTGCTCCTCTAAATCTCACGCCTCAAGACTGATATCTTATCTGGCTACTTGAGCAATCAATCATTTCAAAGCAAGGTAGTCCCATCCCTTGTTCTTCATCTCGACAGTATCAGTGTTCCAAAAATTCAGAGGCTTAAAATTGTAACTCAAGCTAAATAAAGTAAGAAAAAACAAAGAGGGGAAAGTGTTATAAATAACTATGTAGGTATTAACTTTAACAATTTATACTGTTTTTTGCAAATTATTATTAATCATTTATTAACCATTTTGATATAGCACAGTTTGTAATCACTTCTAACTGCATTTGATACAGTATAATTTGCCAACTTTTTGTGGCCAATGCCCTGGCCCCTGTGTAGCTCATATATTTTAGTGTGATAAATATATATTATAGTTTAGGCTTTCCTAAAATATTAACATGGAGGCTATGTGTTGAGCATAATAATATTAGCTTCTGCAGAAGTAACTGTAGTTGTGAAATAATAACTAATAGTTTTATTTTTATAACTGACAATAATGAGAATAAAATATATATGTGAAATAGGTATGTTGATTTAAAGTACTTATAATAAACTTACAATAATGGAAATAGCTAAAACCCATCTGCATGGTCAGATAACATCGAAAGAACAGATGTGAAGAGAACTCTGCCACAGAAAGAGAGGGTGATTGTAAGGAGGTGAAACACGACCCCCTTCACTGCACAAAAGGTGATTCAGGGGTTGGACCAAGCTAAAGAATTCCCGGAAGATGTAAACTAATTCAAAGGAACGTTTGAATATGTATAATATTTACGAATATGTATTTGACCAACGCAATGAAAAAGCATGTAAGAAGACTTGTTATAGTTAACTGCATGCCTCTGGCTATGGCTATGAACTCAGTGCTGTTATTGTCCCTTTTATCCCTTATTAAATTAAAAAAAAAAAAATTAAAGAGTGAGGCTCGTTTCTCACAAAACCCAAGGTGCTCACCCCTTCTTTTTCCTTCAAGCCAGGATTTGTCAATCCCAAACTTTATCCGGCTGTTGGAGGAGGCTGCAGGAAAGATGCCCCGGGACGCTGAGGCACGTGAGGAGGAAGTGACTGCCCCTTTCCCCCTCTCTCCTGCTCCATCTCCCAGCAAAGTATTGCCCCTGGCTGCAGGACAACGCTGGTGCTGATGCTGTCCTGCCAAGGACGGATTGGGGGGATCTCCTTTGCCTTCCCTCTGGAATGGAGGCAAAACCCATCCTCTCCTTCTCCGTCCTCCTTCCTCTCTTCATTCTGTCCTTCATCCATCTAAGTTCCTTTCCCTTCTCTTTCCTCCCTTGCTCTTTCTTGTTCTTTCCTCTCCTGCCTTTTCCTTTGCCCTTCTCCCTGTCTCTTCCTCTCCTTGTGCTTCCTCCCCCAGGCACTGAGCTGCAGACAGAAACCAGGGAAAACAAATTCCTGCCACAGAACCTCGTGGAAGAGGCCGTTTGGAGCAGCTGCACTGCGCAGGAATCTAAAGGGGAGGAAAAACCCCAGAGATCCCACAGGAGGAGGGGCTGCAAACCCAGCCCAGGGAGCTGTGAGTAGGAAAGAGCTTCCCTGTGTGGGAATGCAGCCGGAGATCCAGCCAGAGCTCAGAGCAGGAGGAGAAGCCTCAGGCTGGGGAGAAGCTCCACAAGTGCTTGGAATATAGAAACGGTTTCAGGTGGAGCTTCAAGCTGAGGAAACCTCAGAACATCCACGGTGGGAAGAGGCCCTAAATGTGTGGGGAATGTGAGAAGAGCTTCAGGTGGAACTCTGCTTAGTTTGGCACCTCCAAAGACGGTGGTGCTAAATGCAGAGATCCATGACGATGCAGAGATCCACCTACAGCCCCTGGAGAAGTCCATGCCGGTCAAGGAGAATGCCTGAGATGAGGCTGTGACACCTGTGGACAGAGGGGCCCCTGCTGGAGCCGCCTGTCCTGGAAGGACTGACCCCGTGGCAGAGTGACCCACGCTGCAGCACTGTGAGGGGGCTGCTCCCCATGGAATGGACTCAGGTTGGAAAAGGTCCTGCAGAATTCTTTCATGGGAGGGACCCCAGGGTGCAGCAGGGGAACAACTCCTGTCCCTGAGCAGCGGGAAAAGCCCCGGGGGATGAAGTGACCATGGCTCCATTCCCTGTGTTCCTGTACTGCCGGGGCAGGAGGCAGAGCTGGAAGGAGGGAGGCATGGAAGCTGGCTTTAAGGGTCTTCATTTTCTTCTCATTATCCTGCTCTGAGTTTTTGGAGTGTTTTGCCAGAAATCTCTCCCCTCCCCCACTCAACCACAGGGGTTTGGGGCTGCTTTCCCTTTTTGCTGTGAATCAAAGCGATGTAGTGATGCTCCTAATTAAGGGGTAGAAAATGTGAGGGCTTCCCGCTGAGCCGGAGGCACCCAGCAGCCAGGGCTGGGCAAGGCGGGCCGGGAGGTGCGGAGAACTTTGTTTGTTGGGAGATCAATGGCGGCGCGGGCCGGGCCCGTTCCAGGGCTGTTCCTCATCCCCGCCTTTCGCCTCACGCAGCCCGGGGCGGGCCCTGAGAGCGCGGGGCGGGGCTGTGCCGTGTGCAGAGCCCGCCGTTGGCTGCGATTGGCTGATTCTGCCGTCACTCGTGGTTCTGGCGCGCGCTGATTGGGCAGAGCGGGGACAAGCCCGGCCCCGCTGGCGCCCCCAGGGCGGCCGTGGGGCAGGAGAGCCGCCATTGCTGGAGCGTCTGTGCGTGGCGGGGAGCGGCGGTGGCGGAGCTCGGAGGCGGCCCCGGCCATCGCAGGTGGGAGCCGCGCTCGGTTCTGCGGGGGCTCGGGGCTCGCTGCGGGCCCGGGAGGGGGCGGCAGGGGGCTGTGGCGGGTGGCTTGTGCCGTGGCCGGCCCGTGTTGGCCCTGGGCTGAGGGCGCTGCGGGAGCGGCTGCCCGCGGTCTCCTTGCCGCTGGGGCCTCGGCAGGAGGCGGTGGCGGAGCAGCGCTGGCTCGTCCCGCTTCGTGTCGGGAGGCCGGAGGTGTCTGCGCTGGGCCCGGGGCTGGGCGGGAAAATTCCCGTCGCCAGAAGTTTCTGTCCTCAAAGGAGACAAAAAAACTCCTGTGAATGTGACTTTATTCCTGAACAAAGCGAAAGGTCATGGGACTGCTTTACCGAAATATGGATATGATCTAGTATCAGTATCCAACTTGAAGCGGACAAAGACTCTTTAAGCCATTAGGGTTAAAACGTGTATGTTTATTGGCAGCGCTGGGCCGATGTGCAGGGTCACCCCTTAATACACACGGCCCCGAATGCAGGCGATTACAGACTTTTTATTTTCTGAAATATTGAATACAAATACATATTCATAACCCAGTTACCGCCCTCTCCCCGCTTCCTATGCTAATTAAGAAAAAGCAATTAAGCATGCGCAGTTTGATCCTTGAAATGAGTCGGTGGTCTCGTTATGGGGAGGGGTCATTAAGGGAGGAAGGAATATATCTCTTTCTCATTCTGACCTTTCTACCTTTTCAATACAGTGACAAATGAACACCTGGCTATGCTCCTAGTTTCATGTTTTCCAATTGGTTTCTGGTTTGCAATTGTCTTATGTTCTTGAAGTTCTGTACAAGATTCTTCGTTTCTCATTACAAGCCCAGCTGAATAAACGTAAGGTTGATAGACTATTAGTTATTGCCTAATGATTAGCTCCTAATTCTAGTAGTGCCTCTCTATTTTAATTAGATTTAGCAAGGACTGTTTTTTTATTAGATTTAGCAAAAATTATTTTTAATTAAGGCTTTAGCTTTTCTAATATCTTAAATTCTTCAAAGTTTATCCTTCAGGGCATTTGCCATGTAGTCTCTGCAGCTGTAGTACACAGCCTCCTTTTTAACGTAATTTTCCCGGCCGCATGTCCCTGTCCCTTTGCCCTCTGGCAGAGGTGCTTGGAAGGTTCAGCCTTCCCGATCTGCCTGCTGCATGTCCTCGTTAACATGCACCTCTTCTTGTATAACATCCAATATTCATGTCTCTGTGAAGTCTTTGTTCTTCTCAAAGTTCAGGAATTTAGCAGGACTTTGATTGATTTGATTTTGATTAGTAACATTTTCTGAAACTGATGGTTTCTCCCATTGCTTTCTCATCTACAAGTCCCTGGCCCTATTGATATGCAGAATAAAAGGAACCCTATAACTCACAGAGTAGTTATAAGAGTAGGTATGAATTTATTCAGCACTGAGGTGCATGGGGGATATCTCTTCCAAAAAGTATGCACACCTTTTTTGATTTGGTTTTCCTTTTTTATCTTTTACAGGCTAGGTTTACATGATACGCCTAATACATATTCATTTCCTAACCCCGCCTGTCCTCACTTCATATTACAATTAGCTCCATGCCCCTTTCAGTCCTTTGGCCATCTTTTGGGACGTTAAATCCGTTCCTTCCAGCTTAGGGTCCGAGGAATCCCCTTTATCCTGTGGTGCCTTTGTCTTTGCATCTTGTTTGTGTATTCCCGCTCCTTATCTTATCTTGCAGTCTGACCCTTTTCCTGTTCTGGTGGATCAGGGTGTCAGGGTATGGTTCTTGTCAAACCCCCCTTTTAGTCAAGAATTTCTTTCTAATTCTTAATTTCTCTGTTTCACTATCTCCAAGCAGTTTCCCTCATTGATGGTGTTTATTCTTCCTGGGTGTTCTGTTTTTGGGATTGCTGTCAGTGCCCTCATTCTCTGTCCTTTTGTAGCCGTTTGTGGCTCAGGAGGCCTGGCTGCCACCTGCATCCCCTGGCTCAGCTGCTGAATGAGCTGCACTCAGCAAGGTGTGGTGCATGGTAAGAAGATGAGAGTTGCTGTAGCACATGAGAGGAGAAACAACATTCATTTAACCCATGGTTTGCAAGGGAACCAGGAAATTGTGTCCCATTCCCATCCTTTCCATGTTTGGACCTGTACGTAAGCTATTTTTTTGTTTTCTTTGAGATCTGTTTTATCGCTTTTTCATTGTCATCTATTTGCAAACGGCAGTTTGAGTCATTTAATTTTCCACAAACAACTCCTTTTTCTGCTAAAATCCTATCCCATATCCCAGTGGGTTATGATCCTATCCCATGGTGGTATTCCTCATCTGGGTGGATTGATCAGGAAGTAGGTCAGAAGCTGGAGCTGTCTAGTTGGTTATTATTTCGAGGACAGTTTTAACCTAATTATACCATTGAAATAATAAATGGGTTCTCTGGCTCCTGATGTGTATTCATTAGGGTTTCCCTGGGGCTGGTCCATGGTGTTGTAGGATTTGTTCTGGTGGCTGTTCATCTTTTCCCCATTTTTGGGTGCTCCCTCCAGCCAGGGCTGCATTAATTGCTGGCTTTTCTCTAATTAAATCATCACATACTTGGATTCCCAACTGATTTCTCTGAACTTGTGGTAGTAAATAAACCCCAGTGGTCTGATACACCCTATATAACATAGACAGTGACAGCACATGTTGGAGTGGGGACAGGGATGATTCCCCCCCACTTGTTTTAGTGAAGTTTTCACAACATTCTCCATTTTCTGTTCTCCTTTGCAGCTTAACCACTTTCTGTTGCAGAGTCAGATATCCTCACAATGGGCTGTGCCTTTATCTGTGCAAATTCCATCTGTGCAAGCAGGCAGAGCTTGGCCTGAGGGGCAGAGGGAATCAGCCCAATTCCTCCTGCAGGCAGGAAGCCCCTGGTCCATTGTTCAGGCTTTGTCCCAGCAGTGTTAATTTGCATTTCTAAAGCTCTTTCACTGGCTGCCTGGAACAAAGTGTTATAGATATATATTATATTATTGGCTTTTTGCAAATATTAAAATGAATGTTATATGTATAATGTTAGAAAAATTTGCTGTATTAATATTCTTTCTTTTATTTCTGTTATAGATAAAACTTAGAAATAATGGTGTAATACATAGATATATTTGTTATAGGCTGCAGCATGCTATTAAAATAAAAACTGCTTTGGTTCATATAACCCAGTGTCTGAAAAGATAGTCAGAAATTATATAAGAACCTGCATTCTTTAATTATCTTATCCAGATGAAGACAGTGATGACCAGTGCTCCAAGGAAATAATTTTTTGAACTTCTTTTATCAGGGAGTGTGAGACTCAAGGGAGCCAAGAAGATTGATCTGTTGGGGAGGGGGGAAGTTGAAGTTAAACAAAGGAACATCTAAAACTTGAGAGGGATGTGTGAATAGTGTATGAGAATTTATGAATATGTAATAGGGTTCTGTTTTTAAGGGACAATCCTTTGTTAGTAAGGTGTGCTCTCTTGGCTGAATGCTGAGGCACCTGGCTGTATTTGTACATTTTGCTTTATTTCTATCTCCTAATTGTCTTTCTGTTAAACTTTTTAAATTTTATATAAAAAAATGTAAACCTCGTTTTTCACAAAAGCTTCTCTTCCAGCTCAGACATCCAGTGACGCACATGTGCCCCCCTCACAGTCTGCTTTTTCTTTTGTTCTTTTTTTTTTTAACAATATTCTATTAACTGTTTATGAGTTAAAGGGTCACCTTTAAAGCTCGTCTAGTTTTGCAAAATGCAAGCTAAAAATTAACATAAAAAATCCATACCAAAATTTTGCCATCACTAAGAGCCACGCACAAACATTTCACGCAAAAAATTTCAAAAGCAATCAAGTTTTTTCTGCTTCTTCTTCTAGGGCTGAAAATTGATTCTCATACTGCTGGCCCAAGCCTAATAGACAATATAAAAATAAGAATATTACGAAGAATTATTCTAATGGTGTAATCTTGTCACTGAAACTACGGGAGAAACAAAAACTCTCCAACAATATCTTTAGTGTTAGAGAGTCAAGGCATTACTTGATTCTGGCCGGGATGTGCAACAGAAATCATTTCATGCACACATACCCCGATGTGCAGAAGAAATCGTTCTGTGACACACAAATTTTACTAGATGTTTCCTAAACTTTATACAGTCTGAACCCATAGAAATCCATTGGTTTAATGTTGATTGGTTTGAAGGTGTGGAGTTGTTAGGATTTGGTTTCCTGTTGCACCCGGATTTCTGTGCCTGTGATGTGAATTAGGTGGGCACTCCTGGATTTCCTGCTCAGCCTTTTCCAGACCAGGTGTCTCCAGCTGTGCCTGGGGCAGTGTCTGGGGGAGATGTTGGTTGATGTTTGCTGCTGGGTGTTGATGTTTTGTTGATGGTCATTATCTTGGTGGGAATCTCTAGGGCTATTCCCAGTCTGTTAAGGTGTTAAGCTTATCTCTGCTGAGAGCTGTAACATCCCTTAGAAAAAAACTTTGAAATTCTTTTCTCCAAGAAAAAGGCAAACCAAGCCTGAGTAGAGAAATTAAAAAAGAATTTAAGTTGGTATATTTTCCAGCCAGCGCTGAGTGTGAGTGTAATTGAGAGCCAGAGTGGAATTGTCCCGGTGCCTTCCCCAGCAGCTGTGGCGAGGGCAGGCACAGAAAGGCCTGAAGCTGCAAGAGTGAGAGCAAGGATTGTCCCGCAGTGGCTGGAGATGCCAAAGGAGGGTGCCCAGGCCAAGGATTTCAGCAGAGGATCTGTGGGCAGGCCCAGGGGCTTCCCCCGCTGGGGAGCCCTGGCTGCTGCTTCGTTGCCTTCAGTGCAGGCTCAGGGGTGGCCTCCTATGGTCCTCCTGCAGCGGGGAAGTCCAAATCTCCAGGGCTTCAGAGCCCTTGAGCCGAAGCTGAGAGGTCCCCCTGTGTTCAGCTGTGCTGGGGCTGTTTCTGTGCTCGGGGACACTTGGAATGGGCCATGCCACTTGGCCACCAGAGCTGTCAGCAGGACCCAATGTCCAGGTTGGATGATGTGAACAGCAAAGTCCCAAGGCAGGGTCTTTGCCAGCTGAGCTTCCTGAGGGAGAGATTGCTCAAGAGACAGGCTGCTTTGAATCTACATTGCTGTTCTCCACCCTGCACTAAGTGGAGATTTACCAGGGTAAGAAATTCCAAAGATTAATTCCAGGGAAGAGAATTGAATATCTGCCCTAGGTCTGGCTCTTACTCTTGCCAAAGCCAATGGCAAAAGCCATACCCATGGCATCTTGGTTTCTATCACCAGCTTCCTAAGGTGTTTCTTTATTTCTCCATTTATTCTTCCTACCTCACCTGAGCTGTGTGGGTGCTGGGGGCTGTGAAGGTCCCATTGTATTCCTAAAGCTGCCATAAGCCCCTGAAGGATTTTTTTTCTGTAAAATGAGCTCCCCTGTCTGAATCCCTTGTGTCCACAATCTCATATCTTTGGAATTATATTTTCCAAAAATACCTTGATAACTGATCCAGTGATTGCTGAGGAAGTCAGAATCGCTTTTACCACCCTGTTAGCTGCCCTGGTGTCAGCAGAAGATATTTAAGCCTTCCTGCTCAGGGCATTTCAGTGCCAGGCTCTTACAAGCACCCCCAAGCTCGGCAGGTTGAGCTGACCATGGGGGCAGTAACCAGTGCTTTGTCTAATTCCCTTTCCTTAACAATAGCAAGTCTTGTCATTCTTTTCCCTTCTGCTGCCATTGAAACCCCATCCAAAACCACATTTTCTCCCTCAGTCCAGGGAATGTCTCATAAATCTCTCCCAGCCTGAGTCTGGAGCTCTGTCACTTGAATGAAGTCATGGGTTTCTTCCCAGCCCCCTCTCCAGGCTGTTCAAACAGGAGGCTGGGTTAAACCCTTCCCCTGGCCTCAATTCTAAATCCTCCTGTGCCACTGAACAAGTTTCATACTGTAATAACCGAGCTCTGCTCATTCATTTGGAGGCTCTTTTGGTGTACAAAGTTTTAATTTGATGCCAGACTTGAACAATAGGAGATCCTCCTGCCATCAGTTTTTGGGCCTCAGTTCCCATTAAAGGTGTGGCTGCACAGTTCTGAGACAATGAGGCCACTCTGGCCACTGGGTTAAACATTTTAGCACAAGAATTTGGCATGGCCTTGATTAACATCCTGTTAACCATTGAAAAACAAAGTTCATGCTTCAGAATTTTTTAATAGTTGAATAAGGAACAGAATAAGAGACCAAAGTCCAGCGCTGGGGTGCTCCTGGCAAACAGCCAAAGAACACACAGGTAGTCCCTGGTAGTGTTATTTTTATAACTGTTACATTACTGAGATACATGCTGAGATACATTCATAAGGGCTGTACATTATTCACACTCTTGGGAACTGTTTGATGTTATGGAAATTCTTCTGTTTGGTTTCTTCATACTCTGGCTTATCTGCGTGACACCCTTGTGTCAAGTTAATGTATTTTATTCCTCGTTGTGTCTCCATTCTGTTGTTTTATGCCCTCTGGTAAGGATTTAGTATGTCTTCCTCAAATTTAACATGGTATTTTCTAATTGTCCTGTGGTGCTCTGGTTTGTGTCACGGTTATCTTATCACTTAGAGAATTCAGTTGGTGGAGAAGGCATGTAACATGATTGCTTTACATCATTTGCTGTGGTTACATAGCGGTATTTAACACACAGTGTCTAGTTAAGGCCTATAATACTTTATATTCACCACACTACTATTTCTGTAAGCTATGCAGTACATACTGGTAGATTACGTTATACTAACAAACAGCAAAATAAAGGTATAGGTAATCCTATATCCAAATACTTATGGTCAGTGCAGAAGCTGATATACAAGTGCAAAAGCAAATACCATATTGTTCTTCTTTTTAACACACATGTAATTCAGATTCTTTTTCTCTGTCTGGAAGGGCCAGGGCAGGAACCTCAGTTAATCTTCTTTATAACACTTGAAAATTATAATTTCCTCCTGGTGTACATCCATCTAGTTCCTTAACTCGCAGGATTGGAGCATTACAGGGAGACATTCCTGGCTCCAAAAGCCTTGCCTTTAGTAGGAACTCAATAACAGGCTGTAAGCCATTCCTTTTCTCCCTTGGAACAGGGTATTGCTTTAAGACACCACTTGTCCTGTTTGCTTCAAAGTAATTTGGAGAGGCTCAATGTATAATTTTCCATATTTCACTGGGGCTGCCCACACTTCTGGGTTCAAGTCAGCATAGCCCTTGCCAGACATTTGACACAAAGTTACAACAGCATCAGCAAACCTCTCTATCACCTTTTACCATGTTAAAATCCAGCCATTAGATTCCTTCCAAGTAAATTACAATCACAGTAAGAAGTAAAAGAAATTCACTTATTACAAACCTATCCCCTCAGCACATAATAGAGGTTGAACACATGAACACATCACACCTGCTCATCTTTCCCACTTATTCCCTTAATAAAAATATATCTTGATGATTTTCCCCTTTAGGTCTAAGATTCAGAATGGATAATGAAGCCTCTGTGTCCATCAGGAAAGGCCTCCTCTGGATCCAGAGCCACCCTGAATGTTCCCAAGGGCTCCAGTGTGGTGGGTCCCTGGTGGAGTGGGAGCTGTGACACCGCTAAGAATCCGTGTCCATCAAGGGCTGGACTTGCTCGTGCTGAGGGTGCTCCTGTCTGTGCTGGCAGTGTCCTTGTGCCCTGCAGCTGGAAGGCTGATTCCTTGCCAGGGGCTGTTTGGGTGGGCTGTCCCCTGGCCAGGAGGGCAATGCCTGTGCCAGGTGCTTGTGGCCGAGGGTGTCCCCTGGGTGCTGGGGCCCCCTTGGGCCCTGGGCTTGATCCCTCAGGGGCTGTAGGAACTGTGCCATGGCCTTTGCCTTCAGCTTGGCCTTTTGCTCATCCCTTCCTGCATTCAGCTGCTGAGCCTTTGTGAGCAAGTGCTGCAGGGGCTTCTTCTGGCCCTGCTGCAGCCCCCCTCAGTGCCTGGGGGTGCTCATCCTGTGGCAGCTGCTGAGCTTTCTGCAAAATCCTTCCTTTCTCCAGGGACCCAACAGGAAATGCTTAAAAGATCATGTGGATCCTTGCAGGTCTAATCCCCATTTCTGAGCTGTTCCTTCCTCGTGCTCGCTGTGCTGAGGCTCCCCTCCCCAGCCCGTATCCCAGAGCCGGTCCCTGTCCTGCCGCAGTGTCCAAAGGCGGCCCCCCCGGCGGGCAGGGCCGGCAGCTCCACGGGGCCGGGCAGCGGCCGGGGCGTCCCGCAGCCTCCTTGGGGGCCGGGGGCCACTGCCGGCCCTGCCCGGAGGGTGCTGGGCTCAGGCAGCGCCCGGCGCTGAGCCCCGGCTGCCCCACAGCCCCGGCCCGGCCCCACAGCTCCCCACAGGCCCCCAGCCCGTGCTCCCGGTGCCGCAGCTCTACGCCCGCTCCTGCCACTCCCAGCTCAGAGAAACCCCCTGAAATCCTGACCTCCTTCTTTTCCTGTCCTGGAAACAGGTGATGTAAAGGATCTGGATCAGCTGGCAAATTTGAGGATAAGACAGTTCTGTAAAATATCCCAGTCTTCAGTATTTTTCTTTTCCTCCTCTTTGCCATCATCATTTTTCTTACCCCATAGATTCCTCTTGCTGCTTCTTCTTGCTTCATAATCCTGCACATTCCCCTTCACCTAATCCCTTCCCAGCACACCAACACCATCTATTCCCTGTTGTCTAAATCCGTTCTCAACTTCCCTTATTGCCCCTCTGGGTGTCCATGTCCTTAATTACCTCTTGGAGAATGTGCAAATGACCTCAACATGCTCCCAAGGGACCCTTCAGAGATATTTATGGATCATCATCCGTTTGGCCAGGACACCTTTCCAGCTTTCCCTGTTTACTCCCTGAAGATCCCACTGTAGTCACTGCTGAGATTTTCAGTGCTCTCTCCCTGCCGACTCTTGACAGCCCCCCTGATTCATCACTCGTCTGTCTCCTGCTCACTCTTGGGTACCCAATCAATCCCCGGTGCCGCCGCCAGCCGAGGGAGCTGATCCCCCAAACTGGGTGAGGCACCTTCAGCTGCACTCACTGCCCACTGTCCCAGATGGTGGAAGGAATTCAGGAAGAGCCCCAAGATATGTGGAAAAATTGACATCTCCAGAGGTTTTTGTTCACATAGAAGACAGAGGAGTCCTGTAAAAGTAATTTCATTCATAAAAACAGGGAGAGGCCATGGGACATTTCTCGAAACGGTGAAGTGATGCTTGTGGTAGGAGAAGGTGGAATTATCCAGGAGAAGGAGGAATAGTAGGAGGAAGAGGAGTGTGAGGAAGAGTAGGGACACAAGAGGAGGAGGAGAAGCAGAAATAGGAAGCACCACAAGGTTCCACCACTCCCTGTATCTGCAGCCTCGCCCCAGCCCCAGAAGCACTGCACCCCCTACATGCAGCAGGTAACTGGGAAGGAGGATCCATGATTTTCAACAGGGCTGAATCTTGGTGTTTCTGAGCTTTATTGGGCTAAATGTTGGGGCTTCAATTTTTTTGCAGGGGCTAAATCTATATTTTGGAGATATTTTGGCTGATGTTTGGAGAGTTTTGTATCTGTGTCTTGACGTTTGGAGGTTTTTTGGGCTGAATGTTGGTGTTTTGGAGGTTCTTACAGACTCAGGGTGCCCAATGATTTGCTGAGATGGAGTTGGGCAAGGAGAAACCCCCAACCCATGGCACTTTCCTCTTCTTTTTTTCCCCAAACCATAAGTTTTCATTGCCAAGGAGTAGCCAGATGTAGAAGGAAAAGCCCCAGAGATCCAGCATGCGGAGGGGCTGCAAACCCAGCCCAGGGACCTGCAGGGAGGAAAGACACCCCCCCCCCCCCCC